TCTCGGAAGGCTATCTGAGAGTCTCTTATATTGGACAAAATTTATGAAGGTCTGATACTTTCTTCTATTAGAAGACCTCGTGGAGGTCTTTTATTCAGAAGAGCCATCTAATAATTACATATATAAGCAGAAATCTATTGAACCTCATTTATGCTTCTTAAGATCTCATTTTCTTCGCTAACGTGCCTGTCATTACTTAAAAGAATACCTAGTTATTTATGCAGGTATGTATATATATATATATATATCGCAACTTGTTACTGCAATATTGTTTCAATGTTTGTTTCCCGTTGTTTGTATCCCGTTTTGTGGGTATAACTCCCTCCTTTGTTTGAATCAATCAATTTCGAACTACAATCTTATCAATGGGGGTTTTTGTTTGGTGTCGTTTTCATCACTTTTTTGATATCTTATCAGTCAGTCAGCGAGTTATCAATAGGTGTGATGGGGAAAGAGGACAGACGGTAATGCATTTCAATGCCTAAACAATGTAGTGACGTTTTTTTGTTATTAAATAGTGTGATTTTTATTAAGGAATTTTTTTCTATTCAAAATTTGGTGACAAATTTGAGGTTTCGAAAATTAATATTTGTAAGTCGCCTCAATTAGTGTTTAATTGAAATAATTTTAAAAACAAATAATTTAGACAGCTTTCCAGAGGTTTTCCTTTAACAACAAATGGCTCAGCTTCAATTGCCTATAAATTACGTGACGTGTTCCCCCAATGTCAATATTCTGTCGCAGTGTATTTCTCATCTCTGTTTTTGCAAATTAGCAAAGGAATGGAGAGATATGTCTCTATTAAAACACTTAATCATGTCTGAAATGTATCATCGTCGATGTCAGGACTTTGTACCATAGATATGGTATTTTCCCCTATTGCAAGCAAGTGTTGCTTACGATTATTTAATTTAATGACTCTTGATACTTTTTTTTTTTGGTGTCTACATCAATCCTTTGTCCATGTTTTGTTCAATTTCATTAATTTAAAACAAATTAAATAAATGATTTGAACAAAAAATCTGAATCAGAGTAATTCTTGCTGTCAATTAAAATTGAAATGCCATTGAAGTGACGCATCAATTACAAGGGACAGTTGAACATTTTGCAACAAAGTGCATTAAATATTTACCGAATTCAGACATTTTGGAAATTTGACATAAATATTTTGGACAGGCCTACATCACGTTCAATTTTCTTGAGCTTTGCTCAAATTTATTTTTGGAAAAAAATTTTTTTTTTTCACTTTAATTGGCGCCCAACATTTCCAATCAAAATGCAATTTTCTTAAGTCTAAATCTCGTTTGACATCTTAGTATAAGCGTACTGGTGTGGCGCCCAACGTGTTACCAATTGTTCATATGCTTCAATCTTTTGAAGATTTATAAATATATATTTATCTTCAGCAGGTGGAATCACAATGCTATACAAATGGCTAATGACCGCCTTGGGCGCCACAAGGTCACGTGGAAAAATGTGTAAAAATCACGAAAATACCGAATATCACTCGTCTTTGATTGCGAATTCGAGTAATGCAACTTCACATTCGATCAACACACTCTCCCCGCGATGTGGACTAACACAAACTGCCAAGCTATATCTGGGGAACTGGGCACCTTGCACCCGCGATACAAGAATAGAGCCTCCGGTCAGGCTACGTAGCATCTCAACTACCAGTAGGACTAAAAATCGGCGAATAAATTCGTACGTCGTGCTTTCTTTGTCACTGTAAGTCCATCTTGTCCTAAACCATTCACGAAGGAGTGCCTTTTACCGCCTAATATCCCCATTCACCAGAGCAGTCTTCATCCTCTGCCAGCTGCAAACTGCACTTAAGCTTGTATATAATAGCCCTACTTTTCACTTCAAGGTCAAGTGGCATGGCGTCAAGTAGCTCCTGCAGTTTATCAGTGGATGCAGCTGACACAACAGAAGCGTTTTAAGACCCAACACAGACGCACCGCCCATAATGAGCAAGTCATGCTCGTGAGTACAAACCCTTAAAGACGCCGAGAGTTCCTGCAACAGAGGATCCATCATGATGTGTCAAATAAATGGGCCACAGATGGATCCCTGACTGGATCGCACAAGCCTATGTCTCTCGAAAGCAATCTGACTAAAGACTAATTTCCTGGCAACCGATCGCTAACAGACTCTTGAGCACGCTAATCCGTAAAAGTAAGTCAAATGCAAAGTCGCATTTGACCGCGCAGGCTATTCTACACATACATTAACGAGTCCACAGTACTTATACCTTCGGTATAACCGAACTAAAGCCTAGATGTTATAATCCTCTCCAGTACTTTTCCAAGGACGGGAGGAATCCTAATGCCCCGATATGAGAGACTATCACTGCTTACCCCTTCTGGCGACTTAATTAGCATCACTTTTCCACGCACGCGGGACTTTTGTACCCTTGGCTCATTCAGCGGCTAAAAACACAGACTCGATATTCTCAGGCATGACCTTCCAGATGGCTTTATACATGCGTCCAGTCATACCGTCTATACCTGCCGGAGGCTCAGCCAATTCACCAACAAGCGAAGGAAATGTCTGAGTGTCTGAACTAGGAAAAAATGATCCAAACAAAAAGTCCTACGGAATTAGCACATGGATCCCACATGTGCCCTATCCTGGTTTAACCTTACCAAGGAGCTCGTCATTGACTCCGCTCAGTCACTCGTTCAACTTGCAAACCTGGTCATCTATGGTCAGTGCCCTAAAGTCCTCTAATGGCATAGCAGCCTTAGTAACACGGTACGCATAAAAGTCCCAGTTCAAGTCTCGTTCCTTTCAAGCTCTAAAATGCTCTGTTGCCTGCGTAAGTCCCCGCATGGTTATAATCACTAACACCCCAGGCATCAACAAAATTCCAGCAAAATTGATAAGCAATCATTGCTGCCCCATGTTACTAACTCCCGAGAGTCCATCAAAGGTACACAGATCCGAGGGGTCATTCAATACCTTAAGGTCCCTCACTTACACCCATTCGCCTAACATCTCTACTCGTATGGGATTCTGACGGCAAGAATTAAGACTGGACATCTTGGGCAATCATAACGAGGTACCTCTAACCTATGACCACTAACACCCCATGCATCAACAACACACCAGCAAAATTGGCAAGCATTCTTAGCTGCCCCATGCCACTAACTCCCGAGAACCCAACAAAGGTGTACGGATCCGAGGGCTCATTCAATATCTCAACGCTCCTCTCTAACATCCATTCGCCTAGCATATATCCTCACATACTATTCTCATGGTCAGAATTATGCCTGGGCACCTTGGAGAACCACAACGAGGTTCGTCTAACCCTAGGACAACTACACGCAAGGAGTAGTAGCGAATCCATATACCTTATATAAGGCTTCAACGGTGAGTTAAATCTACAATAGATTTTTGTCAACTCCTAGGGAGAATAACCCAGACAAAAACAAGGGAACGGATGAGGATTAGTGGCTGTTTCCGAAACCTATGTATTCCCTGCCTTACACCCTGGTAAACCTTACCATCTTTCTCCGCTATTAATGGGATTAAGCCTGATTATTTTGCAACAACAAAACGCCACGGTATCCTGAACAAACATGCCAGCACTGTTCGATTTTTGCCAACAACATCTTTCCCTCTGCTCACTCAATGGACAGACATAACCCCCATTGGCTACTTGAAGTAACTGTACAGTCAATGCCACTGTCTACAACTACTATCGCAGATTCAGACACACACATACCCCCCGGAAGTCCTCGCACATGACCCTCTCTGCAAAATGGCTCCTAAATTACGAGCAACGCCTGGTCAAACTCATCCATCACACAGGAGGACCTCTGACAGTCGTATTGGAGTACCCGCATCCTAATGTCTGGCATTAGGATGCGTCCTAATCTCTCGCCACCAGCGCAGCATAAATTGGACATGACGCCGAAAGCATCAAATGCTCGTCCGACCACCCCCTGAGCTTACGGTTCCTACATCTAAATGGAATATTTAGAACTCAAAACCCATTAGTCCACAACGCCGGCACATATCGGTTTCCTGCGTTCTCTTACACGATGGCAAAAGCACAGACACCTATAACAGGAGGGTACATCATCCCCTCTTCGCACAAGGAAGCGGAACCACTTTATTTAAGCTCCCTCGGTGCAGAGCTTCTTCGCCACTTGCTCAGTGTACTCCAAGATGACATTAACCTTGGAGAAGCCTACACCAACCTTCCAGGGACCACCAATTAGACCACTTTTTAAATGCTTCGGGGGTCCTTAACTCACCCAAATTCAACTCGTATTTCTCGCCTATGAATTCATCAGTCGTCAGCTCGGAGTTATATTGGCGCCCATATTTACTTTTCTGAGAGAAGCAAGACTAGAACATATCGCGTAGCAATCTTAAACAACCTCGTGAAAACGCCCTCCCGCTTGCCGCTCAGAGTCGTTTTACAAGTACACACTGATTTTAAGTAGAGATTTAACCACTAACCAAGGTTCTTTTTGAATGCTTCGGGGGTCCTTAACTCAGCCAAATTCAAATCGTAATGCTCGCCCATGAATTCGGTCCTTTGTCAGCTCGGAGTGAACTCTCTGAGTATATGCGTAATATTGGCGCCCATATTTACTTTTCTGAAAGTAACTAGACTAGCGATTTAGCCAAGCAATCTCTGATAACCTCGTGAACACGCCATTCCGCTTGCCACTTAGGGTCTTTTTACGAGTATACACTGATTTTGAGTAGAGTTAAATATTTTGGGGATCCAAACTAGAGACTAAGGGATATCGTTTTATTTCTCTACCTAACCCCAGAGTAATATGGAATTTGGCGCCCAACATAAATCACTAATTATACAGCATATATATTACGCATAATATTGGCTTCCAGATTTCCGATTTTTAACAACCTCGTGAGCACATCATCCCATCAAAAATAGTCAACTCCTCTTTTACCGAATTTGACTTGACACAAGAAACATTCTTGATCTTAAGACATGAGGGTTTTTCTTTTCAACTTACCGTAAATAACTGCCACTATCACTATGTTGTAGCATGTTGCTAGCCGAATGGTGTTGTTGTTGCTGTTGTATTTGATGATGATATGCTGCCGCCGATGAGCTGGACGTCGATGACAATGTTGTACTTAATTCCATATAATCCGCTGTTGTAAGAGGTCTTAAACTGTTGGTACTACTAATACTACCGGAACGACTTGCTGCCGCGGCCTGTTGCTGCTGATAGTGGTGTTGCTGGTGACTGCTTGCAGGAAATGAGATCAATTGATGTTGTTGCTGGTGTAATGGAAAAGGTGGCCTACCAGCCATTGCCACGGACATTGGCAAGAGGGCACCGCCACCACCACCGCCCACAACAGATTGGTGTGAAGAGTTGGTGGCATTGCTGCCGCCACCATTGCCCGCCGTTACAATGGGTGAAGGTATGGATTTGCTGGAACCACTACTGGTACACGATGATGAACCCATAACATTCGATTGCGGTGTATGAGCAATACTGGTATAATGCTGCAGAAAGAAAAAAACACGAAGAAATGTTACAAATGAATTATAAAGTGTTCAGGAGAATAAGGAGAGACTTGGAACATTAATTTCGCTTCGTTTTCGTTTTTTTTTTCTTTTCTTAACTTTCAATCATTTTGCACATTTACGGTTACACCGCTCTTTTTTGGTTTTTGGTCTGGCAAAATTACACACCGCAAGAAATTAATGTTCGAAAATCGCTCCACACTCACCATTTGCAAGACATCGCACTCCTTGGGCACCACCAACAGTTTCAATTCCGAAGGCGTTTGCTTGATCATCGACACAATGGTACTGTAGGCGATGCCAGCAATTGGTGTGTTGTTCACCATTAGAACGCGATCGCCTGTCTGCAGGTTGGCATAGTAAGCGGGTCCATTCGGATGTACTTCTTTTATGAAAATCGTTTCCATAGCTTTCACTTGGTATGGTTCGGATGCTTCCTACACACGGATCGGATCGGTGGATGATTGGACGGATGGATGGATGGATCGCAGCAGCAACACGAACCAATGAATGAACCAAGAGTATCAGCAGCAGCAGCGAAACACCAAAGCGTTATACCATCATCATCATCGGCATCACCAACAATATGACCATCATCATTATCAACAGAATAGGGGGGAAAGCCAACAACAGCGACGACGACAAGAAAGAGTGTTTTTGAAGTTGCAAAAACAAATAGCGAGCCACAACAACAGCAACAGTATGAAAAGAAATTTGTAAAAAAAAAAACAGTTATACAGTGAAAACATGTTATATTAGACATGAGTGGACTTATTATTTTAACAACATTGGCGCCCAACAATAAAGCAAAACAAGTAAAAAATCTGTTAGTTCGGCCGGGACGAACTTTTAATACCCTCCGCCATTTGTTACAAATTTGGCCATTTTCAAAAAAAAAAATAAAATAAATAAAATCCGTTAAAAATTTTGTTAAAATCTTAAAAATACCGAATGCTTATACGACGACGTGGACCTGCATAGGCAACTTTTGTCAGAAGTTATTACACTATTTAAATGCGAAACTTGAAGAAAAATCTGTTTATAATGTAAAATCTGTTAAATCATCAAAATACCGAACACGGGGGGTACCGTTATATGGGGGCTGTACGAAGACGTGGACCTGCATAGACAATTTTCTAGCATGGGCTGAAGTATCCATTACGACCTTCACATGGGAAATTTGAAAGAATCCCTGTAAATAATGTCGCTAATATCATCAAAATATCGAATATCGGAGGGTACGGTATATGGGGGCTATACGAAGACGTGGACCTACATAGTCCATTTTTTGTTTGATGCTGCAGTATCTATTACGAACTTCAAATACTAAATTTGGAATGATTCCGTTAAATAATGTCGCTAAAATCATCAATATACCGAATATCGGGGGGTACCGTTATATGGGGGCTATATGAAGACGTGGACCTACATGGCTCATTTTTTGACTCAGGATGTAGTATCCATTACGAACTTCAAATACCAAATTTGGAACGATTCCGTTAAATAATATCGCTAAAATCATCAAAATACCGAATATCGGGGGATACGGTATATAGGGGCTATACGAAGAGGCGGACCTGCACAGATAATTTTCTGTCTTGGCTGTATTATCCATTTCGAACTTCAAACATCAAATTTGAAACAATTCCGGTAAATAATGTCGCTAAAATCATTAAAATACCGAATATCGGTATATGGGGGCTATATGATAACGTGGACCTACATGGCCCATTTACGAACTTAACCTGCCTACAGGCAAAATATACATGTGTGCAAAATTTTAGCCTTCTATCTCAATTCGTTCGAATGATAGCGTGATTACAACAGACAGACAGACGGACATGGCTAAATCGTCTTAGAATTTTACGCTGATCAAGAATTTCGAGGAGTTACAAACGGAATGACAAAATTAATATACCCTCCATAGTACGGTGGAGGGTATAAAAAAATCGAAAATAATAAAGATAGCCTCATTAAAAGAAAGTTTCTGGGAAACTAATGAATTTCAGAGCAGAGAACAAAGAATTGTTGACTTTTATTAAAACGGGGGTTTAAAGCATTTTGGCGCCCAACGTGACTCAGCAAAGAAGAAGACAATTGTTTCGCATTGATTTTCTGATATTGCATCTTTCTTGAAGATTTACTTATTTTAGGCAGTTTTCAGATTTTTTTAAGTCGAATCTTAAGTAAACTAAGATGGGAAGTCATTTTGGATCAAGATCGCTCTAAATGATCCCTGTCCGAATGCCTAGTCAGTATGCATTTTGGCGCCCAACGTTAATCACTGAACATAAGCAATCAGATTTTTAGCGGCACACACAAAACACATGAAATTACGGGCATAGAACATAAAAACGGCATATTTTATTAAAGAGATAGGTTTAAAAAAATATGCCGAACAACGTTGGTCCGAAGGAAATAAATCATAAATTGGATTTTAATGTCAGAAATCACTTGTTTTGCTTAGCAAAGAGAACATATTTGAGCTCAACGTTAAAATGAAAAAAATCAATATGATTAAATAGCAAATGAAATATTGGCGCCCAACATGAAGTAATTGCTTGATAAAGAGTGGAAGAAAGGATGTGAGAAAATACTTATAGTAGACAGATTTGATAATATATGAAGTTACCGACAATTGTGTATTCTCTTCACTTTTGTAATGCCGAACAGGTCATCTGAATATGCATAAACTTTAAGAAATGCCGTAAACCTCTTCTGCAGAGAGGCTGATATAAGGTGGAGATACGAATACTTCTGAATAGTTAGTATATTACAATGCACAGTTCCTACGAGTATTTTGGGAGGAGCATTTAAAATACCTGAGTGAAAGAAGTACAGGATATAAGAAGAATATCTGTAGACTAAGATTCCAAAAAAAATTGAGTTTTCAGGCCAAACATTTTTGAGGCCTTTTTTATAGCCTTGCCATATACCAAGGTTACTCAAAAATTATTAGAGATATACAGATATACTCCATGTGAATGAGTGTTAAATTATATTATTTTTGGAATAATTTACCCACAATAATATCTGTCTCTGGGGACCTTCGGATTCCCCGCGGACGAAAAACTAATCATGGTAGTGTTTTCTAAAACAAATAAAAATGTGAAAAGTATATAAAGAGAAAAAGTTACGGTACAGGGCCTAAATAACCAGTACCGACGAGTGTTTGTGCTCCAGCCACGAGTCACCCCTCGCCGTTATCCAACGATCGTGAGCAAATTTCTCCCGCAGATGATCTCTGGTCGAAGGTATTCTTACAAGCACACAGCCTTTGGGCAAAAAAAAGACATACAGGGTGAGATAAAAAAGTGCAACAAAGTCAACCACCATAATTTTTACCTTTTTTAAAATTTTATTGAACGAAAGCAAAAAAGGTCGGAAAGAGCATCAAATTTTTGAATAAGTTTTAAGTTTTTTAAGTTTGTTCGAATTGGTCACCTTTGGCACGAATTATGGCCTTCAAACGGCCAATGAAACCGTGTCACGCTGCTGGATGCTGCTCTGCGGTACTTTGGTCCATTCCCGGCGAAGCGCTTACTTGAGGTGATCGACACTTTGGTATTTTTTAGAGCAACCTTGCTTTCCACAATATTCCAGACACAATAGTCCAACTGATTGGTATCCGGAGATTTTGGTGACCATTGTGTGCTGGAAATAAAGCGAGGTATCTCATCTTGTAACCATTCTTGGGTGGCGCGTGCTGAGTGCGATGGTGCTGAGTCCTGTTCTAATGTCCAAGGTATGCGGTCAAAATGTTTGCGTGCCCAAGGCTTTAATACACCCAGAATCCAGATATTTTCGCGATAATATTCGGCTTTTATTCTGATGCCACGGTTGATTAATACGAGCGGAGAGTGACCATCGACTGTTATGGCGGCCCACACCATCACCATGGCCGGCGCATGAGTTCTGGTGGCGAACCGAAGGTGCACATTTATAGCTTCAACGACAGGTAGTGCCTCAGACTCCGAATCTGACAGCAGCAGAAAAAATACTATAGTTTTACGAATCCCAACAAAGGAGGAGACGCAAAAAATTATAGAAGAAGTGAGCGACAGATTGGCAAAGCTCACAACCAAAACGACAAAATTTTCTGGGGCTCAACAATGTCCAGAACCTCACAAGGGAGGCTGTAATAAGTATCGTAATCAGAAGAAGACCGAGGGCGACGAGGTTGGTCCCAACACCGAAAAGTTGAGCCTGGTCGCGAAATCAAGTAGTAAGTCTGGGGTTTTTGAGGAGAAATCCCTGACCCGACTGAAGAGGAAGCGGTCCGATAAAACGGATAAGAAGCCGCCAATTTTGATCAAATAATGGAATATAGACTTAGAAATAATCTGGAAAATCCACGATTGTGATGCGATAATCCTTCTGGACTATTTACCTCTACAGAATACCATGTGTTTACCCACCAATCTAAGGGTTTCATTATTCCTCTACGTCTTTAGCAGTTCCTTATTCATCTTGTATATTTGGATATTGGCGCCCAACGTTAGATTAATAAATAACTGCAAAGTTTGAATCTACGCCAAAAAAATTACCCGAGAGGATAAACACTCCTCATTTTAATACCCGAAGTTCAATACCGTTATACGAAGCTATATCGAGTTTGAGAGTCTAAATCATAAAATCACAGCACATTTGAGGTTTAAACCGTGAATATAAGAAAATCTTTTATTTTTAACATTTCCATGCGAGGCGAGAATCTACCAACTGAGAACTCGAAGTGTCAAATTACAGCATATTCGGTACTATTTAATGGGGGGCTATATCGAAAATTTTCATCGCCAAGGGTTTATGTCCTTTGAGAGCTTATATTTCAAAATTAAAACTAATTTATTAAGAAATTAATGTATAGACCTCGAAATACGTAAAATCGGAAGTTAGTGAAGAGTTATGGGGCAATATCAAATATTGACTCTATAACGAAACAATTTTTGTGAGTGGAGAACATACCCTTTAAGAGCACGAAACATCAAATTTCCGAATCAAAACTCGGTTGGAAATTGTTGTCGAAATATTGAAATTTTTCCAGAACCTGGAAGTGCCGGCTGATGGAGGTCATACCTAAATATGAGTAAATATGGCTCATTTGCAATATTAATCAACATAGACATGACTAAAAGGAATTAAAAACTCTCGATCGCCTCGAAGAAATATCCTTAAGTGGACTTGATATCGAGCTAAACAAACCATGTTCACCAACTTTGGGATTTTAAATATAACAAAATTCTTTTTAACCACTACCCCCTGTAACATTCAAAAATAAAACAACAACAACAACAAAAAGAAACATTAAATTATGTTGTAGTGGTCTAAAAGTTGTTAATGGTTTTTGGTTGTTGCTGCGGCTGCTGTCTTTTGTTGACGTTGGCGTCGTTGTTGTTATTGCTGTGCTTTGGCGACCATTGATAATGTTGAAAAGTAGAAG